ATCACGCTTATGCTGCTAAGATGGTCTTCTGTGGCCAGTTCTCTAGGGAACTGACCAAGAGCTTTAGGGAGTTGGGGATGTTCTGCATATAGATAAACTGAGAGTCAAGGTTACACTGTGTTTCCATGAACAGTGAGGGATCCGAAGAGAACACACGTTGGCAGGCATTCTGATTTCTCACTGTTGACCTTGGAATCAAAATTTGGAAAAACAGTTTTGGGAAATACCTGTGGAAATAGTGAGACAGTCTGCAATTTTCCAGTATAATTAATTACAAGACCCATGATCATGGCCACAGTTCTTGTCTTCTATTTTCAGAGGGATAGAAACACTTGATTTTTTTTACAATTGAAAATATTGTTATATTTTATTGAAACAAACATAACCTCTACTTAAACGAAAGACACCATAAGAATCTCTTCTTATCAAAAGACACCATAGGTTGAATACAAAAACAGCCACAAGTTGAAAGATAATATTTGTAATATAACCAACAAAAGATTTGTAACCAGACTAAAAAGAGCATTTCTGAATTAACATGTAAAAGGATAAATTAGAGGAAAGCATTAAATATTTCCCAATAAAAGAAACATGATGATCAATAAGTAGGAAAAGATGGTCACCCTGGCAACCAAGGAAATAACAACACACTATTTCACATGTACACACATACATGTTCACCACTAACACTTGAATTTGTTGGCAGATATTATATCCTCCTTGCACAAGATGACTGCAAAATTTAACCTGAACTTGAGTGGCCTACATAGCTTTTCCCTAGGTGATAATTCCTTCGATTGCCTTTCAAGCTACTATTTAAAATCTAGATGAAAAATAAAAACAGAATCAAAAGATAGGACTGAGGTAAATATTTGAAATTCTTACCATAGGGCTAATCATCCCAAAATATGATGAACTCTTAGAAATCAACAAGAAAATAATCCGACAGCCCAATAGAAAAGGGTCAACAACTATGGTTCAGAGAAAAAGTTTGAAATAGTGCTTAGGTATAGGGGAAATAGGGACTGGGAATATAGCTTAGTGGCAAAACACTTCCCTGGTAAGTGTGTGGTCATTAGTTTGATTTCCAGTATAAAAGAAAAAAGAAGTATAGGAGAAATAAACCTCTCATAATGATAGTGCAAAGTAAAACTGCATGGAAATAATAATTTTCACCCACTTGATCAATGAATTGGCATTATGGAAAATCGTTTACTGGTTCATTAGTGATAAAGTAAGTACTGTAATGTATTGGTTTCTGTTCGAGGTGCACAAGAATGCAACCCATATGGGGAACAATTTGGAAACAACTATAAATATTACAAACCTATTTTGTTTTTCACTGAGAAATTTCACCTGAAGAGCTTATGTTGTAAAATATTCTTGCATACTAATACAAAATTTTTTAGTGTCTGTATCATGTAGAATAATATAACACAAGGTCAAGGAATATTCCAATACCCATCAGTGTAGGAATGGATAAATATCCATATTCGGGCTGGGGATTTAGCTCAGCGGCATAAGAGCCTGCCTTGCAAGTGGGTAGTTGTGAGTTCGATCCCGAAACTGATTTAAAAAAATAAATAAAAACACAGGGTTTAAAAAATCCATATTCTATCAGGTTCACACAATGGAATACTCTTCCATGCTTAAAAAAAGAATAACAATGGCTTATTACTATATTACTATGGGAAGTTCTCTAAAATACAGCAAAGACCCGAAAACACTCATACTGCGTTTGGCCTAACAACAGAGGCAAAAGAAAGAACTATGTATTTACACTCAGTTGGTTCTGCATAATGAAACACTGGAAAAGTAAAAAAAAAAAAAAAAAAAAAAAAAAAAAAAAAAAATTGGTGAAACAATTAATGATGGATAGAATGGACAGAAAGTGGGAAGTACAAGTACCATTTCTCAGTTTTTTTTTACTTTAGGGCTATGTGTTATATCTATTAATAATAATCAAGCTTAAATTAACAAATTTAAAAGTAAAGAAAAACTATAGAATGTTACCTTAAATAATACACAAATATCCACTACCTAGAGATAAATATTTGTTTATTTACAAAGCTGTTTATAAAGCTGTTTTTCCAATGAAGATCAGTTTATGAAAGCTGTTATGAAAGTTTATGAAAACTGTCTCGTGGTCCTGAATTTGCTCAGTGTGGTCCCCAAAACTTAGGAAACGTAACAGTCACACATTTCTAACTACTTCTCATGAGCTTTTGAGTTGAGCTTTGGGTTTGCTAACCTATAATTAAATAAACAACCAGAGAGAAAATTCTCCTGCTGTGTCATCACAGCACCAGGTACTGGATCCTTAACTTGTCTTCTGATGGAAACCAGACAGGAGTAAGCTTGAAGGACATCAGAGGGCCAGTTAGTGATGCACCCCGCTGGACAAAGGCAGAGATGCAGTCTGTTTATTTATCTCTTTTCAGATTTCACAAAACTCTACCACAAACCCAAATAAATTCTATTGCTTTCATCAACTGGAATGTGTGGTGAGGTCTCCTCTTTATTCCCTTTCTTCTTTTAAACATAGTTTATTTGTTTTCATGTTTTGTTGGTTTGTTCCTGCCGTTTACCTATCAATAACTTAATCTCTGGGTTTTCTCTTGATCATGTAGCTGGTGACATTTATCCCAAACTAGCCTTACAAATCAGAAAACCACTCTGTCCTGGTATTGTAGTATCTGCTAAACTTTTTTCCCCAATTTTGCTTCTCTGGACATTGTACCCAAATGCATTGAAATTTTTCTACAATAGCAGCAGAGACCAATTAGGCAGTAATCAGACTGAGGTCATTCGCCATTTTGGGCACCAGGAGGCAGGCTTTTCTTACTATTATTTTGTTTTTCTTAGCCTTGGATCATTGCAATATAAGTTTGCCCACTTGAGGGGGCGAGAAGAATGCGAAATGCAGGGAAGGTGGAAGGGGTGCACAGAGAAGCAGAATCTTCCTCAGGACATGTGTTGGGGGTCAGGTGGAGAGTAAGGAAACATTCCAGTTCCTTACACAGTTTACCCCTGTGTAATTCAAGCCATTTTTTTCTCAGTTGATGCATGGACATGCAGAGGCTGAAATCAGTGATGAAGAGACAGAGCTGGAATCATTATCCAAGTTCCTCTCTTTAGTTCTGGCCTGCAAGACAATGCTGCAGCCATCTGTTTGGGTTCTACCAGGCCCTGCTGATAGCTGGGAGGTCTTGTGCATGTTAGTAAACCTCTCTCTTAGTAATTTATGGAAAAAGTGGGAATAATAATAATAGCAATGATAGCAATGCTCTCTGTGAGAGCTAAATGAGATAACACACGCAAACATTTATTATGGTACCTGAATACAGTTAGAGAAAACATTAGCTGTTGTTATTTCTATCAAGTGTAGTGACTTGGGATTGTCACACCCACAGAAATTCATAGACTTTAGCTTGATCAGAATGACCTGGAAGTTTTATTAAATGGAAGGCTCCTGATCTCCATCCCAATGCTTCCGACTCAGTAGGTCTGGGGTTGAGACTCATCTTTGCATTTATCCTAAGTTCTTAAGAGACTGTGGTGCTATCGTTTCAAGGACTACTCTTTGAGAACCATTTTTCTGGCAGTTTTTCTCTTTTCTTAGTACCTCTCCCTTCACTCTTTCTTTATACTTTATCCATTCTGTCCCTAGGTACTTATATCCAAGGCTTTGTTTAATTTCTAGAGATAGTTGGACAAGGAAGACAAGATCTCCAATCTAGGTCTTCATAGTTGACAAGTACCTCCTCTGAAATAAGAGGGATCAGGACAGGGGTATACATCTGAAACTCAGACTTGTGGCCATTGGGACCAAAGCATAGGAAGCAGAGGTGTCAGAAGATCCGTGAAAGGGCTGGGAGGGGCATCCAGGCTGATGGAGTCGTGGTGTCCAGAGAAGGACACTGGAGATGCTTGACCTATTGGATGAACCACCAGGATGTCTGAGCATGAAGGAGATGTGTGGTATAAGTATAAGGAGGACCAGAACAAGGAGAACTCTACTCTGAATTTCCAAATCCTCAGGAAAGGTATGACTCAGGCAGTGATGCCATGAGTAGCAGCTGTTCAAAAACAATTAGTTGGTGTTCAAGGAAGTGATGGGGGAAGGTCCCTAAGAGGTTCAGAGAGAAGGGAATGAAGGGATGCTGGTAATGGCAGGCTGGAGCAACACTCAAGACCAGATTTGGTGGGCTCTCCATCATCTCAAAAAAATAGCAGGCTGGGTAGTGGGCATGCAGGCAAATGGGGATTCAGTCCACAGCTTTGTCATCTGCCGACTGTTGCTGTGAATGCTGACCTCTGCTTTCCATCTGTACTCCTGAAGCAAGAGTGAGCTGAGTGTGAGATGTCTATAAGCCTCCTGGATTGTGCACACATACTGGTGTTATATGTGGAATGAGCCAAAGTCAGATTCTCTGGAGAATGTGATGGGAGAAGGCTCTGGGAGCTCATGTGCCCCCTTGAGACATGAGCAGATGGCTGGGAAATGGCCAATGAGGTCTCCTCTATTAGGACCTCTGCCTCCAGGAGACAGCAGAACTGTGTTAGCGAGAACATATATGTGCAAGGGGACTCAGACGAAATGCAGGGAATTAGTGCTGAGGTTTTTCTAGATATGAGTGCTCTGGGTACAAAGAGGTTTTCTCTACAATCAAAGAAGGAAGTGGCCTTGCCAACTGTTCCCATGTGTGCACACATTGACATATTGAGGACCTGCCCAAGTACCAAGGTTGAGACAGCTCTTTAAAACCACTCTGATGAAATAATCTTTTCTTGAAGAAAGATCCTTTCTACCTCCACCCTTCACTTTTAATTATTTTTAGATTTCTTCTCTTCATGTCCTGCTAAACTAGTGTTCCACAGAACATATTGTGCGCTTAGGGGAGGGACTTTGCTTAATCTCTCAAGAGGAGAGATGCCCCAGACTTCAGATTGGAGGAGTTCCCTAGAATTAAGGGGCTAGAAGGAGCAGACACAGATGACAAGCACAGATCACTTTATTGGCATAGGGATGGCAGCAGGACTAGGGGCTCAGTTACTAGCGATGGTCTGTCGAATCCAGGACACGTAGTTGCACACCTTGGTATACACTCCAGGCTTGTTTTTCTGAGCACAGCCATAACCCCAGGAGACAACGCCCTGGAGTTGCCCATTGCAGACCACAGGGCCACCAGAGTCACCCTGGAAGGAAGGACAAATCATTTGAAGAGAAGATGAGAGGGATTTCTCTAAATCTTAGCATTACGGTCAGCTGACTCCATGTCCTTCTCGTGGTGGCCCACTCTCTGTCCTTGCTAAGGAGATGGTATATAGGTCATTATTTCTTCATGGCATTACCACATGGAGCTGCCAGCATTACCACATGGAGCTGCCAGCCTCACCACTTTGGCCACTCATATCCTGCTCCTAAGAAATGGGTTATATATGAAGGGCTTCAGTCACCTGGCAAGAATCCTTGCCTCCCTCGAGGTAGCCAACGCAGATCATGTTGCTGGTGATCTGTCCAGGATAGGCGGACTGACACGAAGACTGACTAAGCACAGGAGCATTCAGGCACTGCAGCAGGTCTGGGTTTTTGACTTTAAAAGGCAGGAAATGATCGGAGAAAGAAAAAACATGAGTCAGACCAGGCTGGGTTAGAGATCTAATGTCCAACACTAATAGGTAGCCACTGGGGCAGGACCTAAGGATATAAACCCCAGAAAGGAACAATGACTTTCAGCTCTCATAACCATTGCTACTCCCCATCCTGATCACTGTTCCCCATCCTGGAATTAAGGATAACATGTCCCAGATTTATCCTCTTTGGATTCTCGGGCTCAACTCCTCAGGGCCTCACATCTCTACGGTGGCACCACACAGCTTTGAAATGTGTTTTTGGGCTAGAAGCAAAGGGGTTCAGGGTCATAAGCATACTTGTTTCTGAGAAGTGTGGGGACAGAGGGCAGTAGGACGGTGAAGGGTGCCACTCACCTCCAGAGCTCAGAGTGTTGCCCCAGCCAGAGATGAGACATGTGGTGCCAGCAGACACACAGGAGGAGGGCAGAGATACAGCGGCCACTTTGGAGTTGAGGTTTGCAGCTGAGGCGAGCTTGATCAGCATGATGTCATTGTTCAGGGTGCTGCTGCTGTAGCTGGGATGACGGATGATCTTGCTTGCAGTGATAAATTGTTCACTCCCCTCCGAGACTTTGATGTTGTGCTCTCCCAGTCTCACTTGGATCTGACTGTTGGGAAGAGGTATATAGTATTGATTTTCTGTCTGTAGTACAAGAGTCCTCATGATTCTCAAATGCCCTGCCCTGTGGGAAGTCTAGGGGCTCAGGATGGGATATGTGGTAGTATCACAGGAGCAGCAGAAGGCTTGTGGGTAGTACCGGTGTGAGACCCAGGCCTTTTGTGCTCCAGAGGTAGGTGGTGTGAAAGGGGATATGATGTAGAGGGGGATTCAGTGTGCAAGAGATGGAGTGTGGAAAGGATGGGGGGCAGGTCGAGGCCGGGGATCACACTCAATTGCTGTCCTAAAGCCCCATCCCACAGCCCACAGCCCACAGCTGGTGTAGCTAACTAACAAAGGATATTTGCCCAAGTTTCTTGTCTGCCTTTTTATTTAGCAATATGTACCACACCAAAACAATTCTTCTGCTTTTCTGATTAGGCTTTGTTTGGTGCTGGAGAGGCTTACTATTGTGTGGCCCTCTTTGCCTGCATGTGAGCTGCTTCCAGCAATTTCTCTTCTCTATGATTTTTCCTATTTTCCTTCCAACTTCACCAGTTGCCGGGGCTTTGAACTCTGCAGTCAGAGGCCCAGCACTTACGACTTGTAGCAGTGAGCCGCAGACACCACCCATTGGTTATTGATGAGGGAGCCGCCGCAGAAGTGGTAGCCACTGTTCAGGGACACCTGGTAGGGAACGGAGTGTGCCGAGCAGGTATAGCCCCCAACGATCTTGTCATCATCGTCAATGGGCAAGGAAACTTGAGTGAAGAAAGAAAGGGAGAAGCCAATATTAGAGGGTGGAGCCCTCAGCCCTGGGGTTACTTCCTGCTAATCATGATTCTTTAATTACCACAGTTAACTATAAGCAAACAAGGAGCAATGTCAACTCCAATGGACACCTGAGCTTGTAGCTGTCCAAGTACTTGTGCCTACAAATACACAGCTGGATACCAGGAAGGGGCTTGGATCTCTTCTGCAGGCACTAGGGTAAGGGCACAAGAAATGGTCTTATTATTCATTAGGTGGAAGATAGACCAGAACATGGCTGTCTCCTCACTGAACAGTACTCTCTCGGTTTATCACTGGTCTACTTCCCATTGCTGTTTGAGCCCCAGGTTATCAGCATGGTTTGGCCTATCTAGGATAATTTCCCAGTTGAGTAGACCAAGTTGTCCTGAGGTTTTACATAGCCCAAATCTATGCAGTGAGGTCAGAGTAGATGATAACAATTTACAGGCCCACTTAAACACAGAAAAAGGAGACATTAGAACTGACCAGTAGAGTAGTTTTTCTTGGTCTTGACTGAAAATTTGGGAATCTTAAAGTCACCTGGGAAGCTAAAATATCTAATACACAGGCCACATCCCAGACAGCATGTTTCAGTTTCTAGTGGTGTCTCTGGAAAGAGCAATTTTTCAAGCTCCTTAGGTGTGTTTGAGGTTGAGAGCAGCAATGGTGGACCTATCCCAGAGCTGTTGGGGTCAATATGTGGTGCTCCTGCTTCATTTCATGGACCCTGCTCACCTTTCCAGCCTCCCTGACCTCATCCCAGGGTGATGGTGGGAATAGAATCAGGGAAAAGGAAAATGGTGAGGCATATTGAGGGCCCAAGAAAGCAAAAAGAGGTTCTGGTCAGGGTAAAGCAAATATCAGAGTACAGTAAGATAGGAGACACACAGTGATGATAGATCACAAGGCTTCTAAAATAAGGTGAATTGCCCAAGGTAAGGTATAGAACTCACCAGCAGCTCCCACAAGGGCTAGGATCAGGAGTGCGTTCATGGTGGCGATGTACAGTTGAGCAGGTAGTGGACCTGTCTTTATACCTCCCGGGAGGGAGAGAGAGAGCACTGAGGTGGAGGGTCATGTTCCTCCCAACACAAACACACCTGTATCTTTTCCCTTTACAGAACATTGCATCAGCTCTTGCAACAGTGGCCACTCCATGTCAGGTGATAAGGACACTTTCTGAGGCTGAGAGAAAGAGCAGCTGATTTCTTGGAAGGATGCTGGATTGAGAAAAACAGGAGAAGACAATCTCCCCATCTACCCAGTTGGGCTTGCTTAGGCTGAGGGATGAGGGTTTGGAGGAAGAAGAATGGCCTGAGCACTTAAAAATCTTATGGGCTTGTGAGGATTTATTTAACTTGCTTTGAGAATAGGTTGATATTGACAGTAAGTGTGGTTGTTTGGGATTCTGGAGTCCCCAAGAGAGAAAAGAAAATTATCTAAGATTTAATATCATAAACATAAAGTTCCTTTTCTGCAGTCTAATCTACAGGGAAAGAAGGTCAAATCGAAGGCTTTCAGGATCACAATTTACACCTAGGTGATGAGAGGAAGACTTAGAGTTCTTTAGGAGTCTAGGCTTCCAGTTGGCTCCCCTTTCTACCAGGGCTACAAATGAGGAGTGTTTTGAAGGAGAAGTGAAATTTAAGTAGGAGCTTATTCAATACATGAAAGGGATGGAAAACCAATACCACATTTTTCCTCCTCCTCAATGCCAGGACATGTATCTCTCTCTTTGCTCATGCTGTCATGAATTTTCTTGAAGCAGCCTTTTGGTTTCCCTCATGGTCTGTGCCATGAGATGATGAAAAATACTCTACCCACTAGGAGCAGATAGTTAGAGCAAGGATGATGTGCTCCAATAAGATACAAGAAAAAGTGTGGACAATGGCAATTTTCATTCTGATCAGAGAATCAGCAATAGGCAGAGAGAGTAGCTCAGGGTAAGGGGATTAAGCACTAGGTCCAGTAACAAAGAGGTAGGGAGGATTCTGGAATCTTCTATCTTATGCAATCAACCTATTATTCTGGGCTCCATACAGAATGAATCTTTCCAGCAAGAATCCAGATTAGTAACTGCCATATCTAGCAAGACTCAGCTCAGAAATTTATTGGGGGAACAATCTGTTCAGAGGAAAGTAAAGACAGATGGAATTAGCCAATATGGGAGCCAATTGGAAGGACTTTCTTACAAGGTGCTTCTCCATTCAGCTCAGCCCAGCCAAGGGTTGGTGAGAGGTAGGAGTAAGCAGATGTCATATTTGCCTTCTATAAAAAGTAGAAAAATAATGAATGTTCTGTAGATGCTGAACAAAGTGACCAAAGCTCAGCTCAACAGTTGTTGATAGAATTGGAGATGACAAACAGGCAGGAGGGTAGAGGAAAAGGAAACTAGAATTAATTGTGGGAAATATCAATGGAGGGTTTGTAGAGTACCTGCTGGTGTCCACTGGTATGGTTAAGACACCTTCTCTGTACCAGAGGTGCATTATTGAAGGCTCTTAGCTATTCACCTTGCATCCCTTCTATCATCTGATGGGCTCATAGTCAAGTGGGTATCTTAGTTTTCTCATTGCTGAGACAAAATATCCAACACCTGAAGTTAGAAGAGGAAAGGTTTATCAGAGCTTACAATAGGTAGAGGTTTAGTACATTGTCAGCTGGTTGCAAGCAGAATGACATGACAGAGGGACATCACAGAGAAGAAACAGTTCATGGCAGGAAGAAGGCAGCAAAATCAACAAGTGACAGGTAACCAGTGATCAGCATCCACAGAAGCCTTCTTTCTATCTAGGTTACCTGCCCTAAGGGCAAGGCCATCCCATTATCCAGGAAAGGCCTTCCCATTGTCAGCTCCCCAAACTATTTCAAACCAATCAGGGGACTAATTTAGGGCCTTTCTGTTGTCCAATTCCAGAACTATGAGAAATTGATCAGTACTAATTTAGTAATCACACACCTTTGATTTCAACAGCACACTCCACATCCAGCCTCCTCTGGAAAGATCCACTTAGGACAGTGTGAGACTTTAATGGAACATCTAGACACAAGCCGTAACAGTGAGAATACTGCTATGTGTGTACAGTGCTTCACAGCTTTTCAAAAACTTTCATAGACATTCACAATGGTAGTGTGCTGCTTTTCCTTTGTGTTGAGCATCAAAGTTTCACAAATACGTTAACTGTGAACTATGCAGAATGAAGTTCTCTCCATTTCAGAGGAAGAGACTGAGGCTCAGAGAGGTCCTGTCTTGCCCCCAAAATCATCTAAAAATGGCAGCACAGTCTCAGACCACAGAAAAATATGTCAAGTGTTGTAAGTGTGGGATTTGCTGCAGGTGGCATCTGAATGATTTGTTAAGGAATCAAGCCAGAGGTCCCTAGCTGGAAAATTCTATATCCAATTCCCTCCTGACACTTGGCTTCTGGGCAGAAATGGAACATCAAATTATTTGATCTGGCAGCGCATCTCAGAGCCTTACCTTACCATGACTCATATCTAATGCATGAACACTTTTCTGTGCTCACAGGTAGTGGGTAGAAGCTTAGGAAGCCCAATTGGGAAGCCTAGATAATAGATTATGTTTGCGTGATGTCACTTAACACACTGCTTTGCTTTGCCTCTTTGCAGTGGGATATTCCTAGACTTTTGAGCTAGCATCTGTAGATGCTGTGTGCACTAGTCCAATAGCCATAGCGAGGTATGCTTGGCAGAAGAAAACACTTGGAGGAAGAGGATCATTGGATTGGCCTTTGTACTTTAGATTCTGTTGTAAAGGGAATATCCAAGGGCAGGACGACTCTTTAGCTGAATCTCCCAGATAAGACTTTTCATAATATTTTGTGTTCCTACTTACAGACTGAGTTCAGGTTTCTTCGAGATGTTAGGAAATACCTTTCTGGCAGAGAAAGGAATTAAAGGTAGAGATCGTTACCCACTCATAGATGAGTAAGGTAGGTTCGGATCCAGCTGCTGCAACTCAGTTTGGACATCTAAGGGGTTCTTTAGACCCTTTAGTCTGAGGTACAGATTCCTCTGTTTACCTCTCCAAGTTATTTTCCTAGCTCGTGTTTGAAGTGTAGCCTATCACATTCCTGCTTTTCATTTATTATCACTATGAAATTTCTGTGTTCTTTATTCTACACCAAATATTGTATAAGTCTTTCAAAGACCTTTTTTCATTTGCTTGTTACAACCATAGCTTTAGATGAAGAGTCTGAAGCTTAACAGTTTAAGTGAGCTCTCCAGAGAGACTTGCTCATGAAATGCAAAGATAGTGTGAGAATCTCTCCTCCTTTTCAAACTAGATTTATTTCCTACTACCTTGCTGCATGATGGATACTTTCAAGCTCCTAATAGTCTGAAAAGTACAATTTTGTCAGTTTCTACACTTTGTGTTCTCTATATGTACCAAATATGCCCAGATCAAGTTTTTCTCCCTCAGATCTCAGTCAGCTCCTTAGGGTCTCATATCCTTTACTTTTCTTTTGGTGGGTCTGGGGCTTGAATCCAGGGCCTCTGCACTGAGCTACATCCTCAATCCTTTATTTTATTATTATTTTTCAAGACAAGTTCTTACTAAATTGTAAAGTTGCCCCCTGTAAGCTCAAACATGTGATCCTCCTGCCCCAGCTTCCCAGAGTATTAGGACTACAAATGTGCACCACCATGCTTAGGTTTTATAGCTAGATTATGAATTTCAGAGTTTCTGTCCCCTGACCCCTCAAAGTCAATATCCCTTCCACTATTTATTCATACCTCTTTAACAGCACTACTTTACATTCAGTAAGAAATTGTTTTCCTGATATCTGATCCTGGGAATCACTGAAAGTGAAGGGGATGCTCCATAATCTAGAAAGACCTTAAGAGTCAGACAAAGGCTTGGAAGAAGAGTGACCATAGTAGAACAGCCAACTGTAGTCACTCTCATCTTATTTTGCCTTATCTTCTCATCATCAATCCTACAAAGAGCTATTTACATATTTTATTGGTTCTTCAAGGTTCATGCATCATACAGAGGCAAATGGGAAGTCTCTAGCAATTGATGGTTTACGAATATTTAAAGATAGATTGATTCCTGTTGTGTAAAAATGAGTGCACTCAGGTGATTGGAAAGTAAGCAGTAGCAAGACAGTGTGGAGTCTAGGAACAGTATCCTTGTGGACTATATTGTTATTGGCCATAAAACATACAGTTTGATACTTGATGTTTGTATCTGTTTTTCTAAATCAAATTAGATTCAGATTGAATCCCATAAACTAGGTGTGGTAATATGTCCTTTTGTCAGCAGGGCTCATTCTAGTCATTTGATTCATAAAAACTCAAGACTCGGGCTGGGGATTTAGCTCAGTGGCATAAGCACCTGCCTTGCAAGCACGTGGTCATGAGTTCGATCCCTGGTACTGATAAAAAAAAAGTTAAAAAAAATAAAGTCAAGACTCTGCCATCCATTTGGAAAGGAGTCAGCTAATGAGTCCATTCCCTTTAGGTCATCTTGGCCTAAAGCATTTTCTGAAGGATTTCAAGGCTCAGAACTGAGGGCTCTATCCAAACAGACACCGAACAATTCTAATCTGAAAACTTTCTACCTCAAGGTCAGTATGTTTGAATGGGTGATTCTGTACTTTGCCTCTAAAGAACCTATAGCATCTGTTCTGTTTCCCAGTCCTGGGTAAGGCAACAGAGGGATATCGGCCACATTGTAGTGTTCCTTTCTGTTTAAATATAAAGCTATGTTCGAACATAAACTTGAGAGTTTTGTTTTCTTTCTGTGCAACAGTCCAGTTAACTTCTTTGTGAGTTTACATAATCTAAACTTAAATCTTTGCACATATATATTTTTTCTCCAAAAAATCTATTGCATCTTGACAAATTTTCCTTTTAAAAAGTCATGCTTATTTAATCATTAAATATTTTCTAGATTCCCATGATATTCCAGGAGTTCTGGGTTCTAGAAAATAGCAGTAAGGAAGATAGAAAATGTCCTTGCTTTCATGGCATGTTTG